CTCGCTTTGGGAATCCGTCAAAATAATTAGAACGAAGAGCGCTGCTGCGAGGAGAGGCCAGAGGCTGGTACAGGCCAGGGTTCACAGAGTAGCTCTGGGAAACTCTGGCTCTTCTTGGATCCATGCTTTAATGGTTATGTAAGTTGGAGCGGGAGCGAGTGCAGTGCCATCGCAAACCAGGCTTTTCTACTGCCTCTGCAAAGGGTGGAGGACGGCTCAGTTACTCCCTTGGCCGTGCAAGCCGTCCAAGCCGGCGTCGGGAATGGCCCTGCGAGACGGCTCAGGGCATCACATGGAAGCAGGTCTTCGGGAGAGCACTGAAGCGTGAACTTTCCTCCCTGGCATCCTTGCGCTAAACCCATCCTGCTTTTGAGACCCAGCCGCTTCTCTGCCGGTGACTGGCAAGCTGTCACCAGCTGTCCGGCTGGAGGCCCCGCGGGAGGCGTGCAGCACCCCAGGCAGACGCACGCCCATGCAGCCGAGGAAGCCCCTCTCCAGCCATAGTCCTGCAGTGGGCTGAGCACTTGGCTCCCATCTGGAGCCTGGCTCCAGCATAAACAGGGAAATGTTTCCCCTTGCTCTCCTCCGCTCCACTCACCTGCATTTCACGCTCTCTTACATACATGAGTGCTTCTAGTAGCTCTGACTGTCCTGCAGACTCCAGAGCTTTGGTTTGCCCTTGGACCATGGGTTCAAGCGGAGGCTGGTGGGTTCGGCCGGCTCTCCGGCAGGCTGGGCAGGGCCCTGCTCACTGGGCATGCCAAAGGCAGGCACTGAAGCAAGGGCCAAAGCCCTGAGCAGGGACAGAAGCTGCAGTGGGGTGGGAGACAGCCCCAGCAGAGGCCTTTTCCCATGGTCACTGCACTCCTTGGACCAGTCCTGAGATGCGCCTGCAGCAAGGAAGAGCCAGGGAGATGGAATAAGCTCTTCCAGCCTTTCTATTTTTTGTATTTCCAGGAAGCTTCTTGTTGGCAAGGGTGGTAACAGCGCAGCACAGCAAGACGTGCTAGGAGGCCAACTGTGAACCCAGCCAGACGCTTCTCAATCATCTTCTATTAAAACAAAACAGGCCAAAGCAACTTAATCTGACTGGAGGGAGACCATTAACATCAGAGACTCCATTAAAAGGAGAAATGGGCCTTTTATCTGCTCATCAAGAATCATAAAGGAGAAAACCTTTGAAGAGACCCATAAATCCCTTAACGTATCACCTGGAAAACACCAGCACTGCAGTCTCGGCGGCTCGAGCGAGGCTGGTTCCTGCCACATCCCAGCCAGCCCACCCCAGAGACCACACTGCGAGGCCAGCGTGTCTGCCAGTCGATTTAACACAACGCATTCAGCAGGCCACCAGCCGTCCGTACAGAGGTGGCGGGCTCAGCACACCGCGTGTCCAAGCCATCCGTAAGGGTGGCCTGGCCCAGCAGAGCAGTCCCTCGCCGGAGGGCTGGGCTCCCAGGTGCCTGCGCTGGGAAGGATGTTGGCTCTACATCCCCCCGAGGGGCTGAAGGGTGCATGCTCGGGGCTGAGCTCCGGGGACTCTGCAGCTCAGAGCACGCTCTGGCCCCTACCCTAGCTGCGTAGGTCTCCCATGGCTCTGCAGGGCTTCATCCGGCGGGGAGAGCGCTGCCAAGCCCCGCAACGCCACGTCAGCGCTCCCTGACACTGCTGGGTGAGCAGCCTGGCTGCCAGGGCCCTGCCGCCAGGTTAACCCGCGCAGGCACAA